CCTGCGGCTCGTGGTTCCACAGCCACTTTGACAATGTTATGACGCAATTTATCATCAAGAGGACAGACGCATAAAAAATTGACGTCAGTTTGTTTTTTACAATAACAAAATGGTCAATTTGTTAAACGATCACCACTTACTGTTCAACACTTTGACTTGTTCCTCCAACATGGCATCTGAAACATTACCTCTCCCCTGTGGGTCGTAGATAACGTGCCAGGCAATGGGGACAAGGTACCGTTCTTTGCATTGCATGTTGCGGTTGAACAAAGCGTTATAAGCGTCCTTGTCGTGGCTCTTTATTGCGTTCTTCATGAGGATGTTGTCGATCTGAGGAACATACGGAGATTCAGAAGATTTGGGGCGATTTTCTCTCGCATTTTCAACACCACATGTTCGCTTCATAATCGGCGGCGATTCACCATAACAGCGGACAGCCAAGAATGTTGCCAGCAGAGTTCTGAAAATATCAGTCAGGGAAACAAATTTCGTTTGATTTATCGCGTCAACGAGATCAGTGATCAGGTTTTTTAAATTTTAAAAGGGTTTGCAGATAGCGTTGCACTGGTGTGAGATTGACCGTTGGCTGCTCCTACAATTCTGGTGTCTCAGGCACTGAACGATAGCAACTTAATCGAAGACATTTGAATGACATTCGGAGCACCTTCGGAAATTTCCGGAAAACCGTCGGAAAACTTAACTTTGAGCGATCTTCGTAGAAACAGGAAAATTTAAGAAGTATGCGATTTTCTTAGTCACCACAGTGAAAAAGCCACCAAGTTGTGACAATCATGAGGGGTTTGTGAACTTTTGAAGTCAGATCTTTTCGTTGTTGTAGTTACAACAGAGCAATGTTTTTTGTCTTGCTACAAAACAAAACAAAAAGTTGTCTCCTTTGGAGACACGCTGAATAAACAAGAGCCATGTCGCTATGTTATGAATAGCGAATTTTTATTACGCTCTGAGCAATTTTGTGTAAAATCAAATAAGGCGAGACTGTAGCTACAGCAGGTAAGTTGTGCGCGCGCGATGTATGACACTTGAAGCGGCGCGGGCTTCTGCAACAAATTTGCACGCGCAACATTGCGCAAGTTTTCAACGGGTTTCTAATTTAAGCTGTTTTGCGCTCAATTACTACACTTTGTAGCCTTGAGAGTACTATTTTTTAGTCATTGGAAGTTTATTTGAACGTGTATTCAGTTATTTGAGGCTTTTTCATGCGTATTTGTTTCGCGTGTACGCTACCCTTGTTTCTAGGTCTTTCTAGTAAGTTCTGTGGTGTCGCACAAGCACACGCGTAGCGCCGCAACACCCAACTAGCGTTATAAAAGAGTAGTTTTTTCGTTAGCAAGATCAATTGACACAAGATCTGTTAATTCACCGCAAGTTAACAAGTTTCTCCAAGTTTGTCATTGTTCTGGTGATCAAGGGAGCACCAAGGTAATTATTTTTCACGCTATTTTAGTTTGCTTATGTAAGCGGTTTGTATCTTTAGTCGTTTAAGTTCAGTTTCATCGTTTAAATTTAAGTCTTAAGGTTTTAGATAAAGTCAAGTTATATACGACATCATTTTACCATTATTTGTAAATCGATCTTAATTTTTCTCCTTTCACTTATGCAACTTTCGAATTGAAGCATGTGAAATGTACTTATATCCTGTTATTTTCGCAAGCCGATTTGTAGTTTATTTGTATCTTTTATTTTAGTTCTCACGGTGTTTATAGAGTTTTTAAAGAATTTTAATAAACAGCAGTTTGTGAACCGACGTTTAACCAAATCACTGGAGCAATAGAGACGAGAAAAGACGAGGAAAATGTTATTGTTTAGACTGTATACAGTTGTCTTTTTTTTTGTCAGGTGCGGTGGAGTTTCTGGATCTTTCTGTACGAAACGTACAGAAAGATCGGGTTCTTATTGACAATAAAAAACTGGAATACATACCTTAAATAAAAAAGCCTCAGAAACTTCATAGCAATATGCTCATAAATCGTAGAGAAAAAGAAATTGTCATCGAGTCAGAGGTGACCAGCAAACGTTAAACGCAGCTCTCCGTCGTGAGTTGTGTTGCGGCCAAAATTACCTCAGTCTGTATGTTTCACGTCTTTACCTCACCCGATTTCTTACGCCAAAATATGCGCTGACAAGAGTGATACATCTGTTTACACATCGCAAATGTGCTGGAAATTGCCATGTTAATGAACATGTTCCCTATATAAATTAATTTTGTGTGAATTGTCTTTAATTAATATTTGTATCAAGCCCGACCTTGTTTAACATGTCAATCATCTTTAGAAAAGAACTTTCAACAACATTTTTATTTCGTGAAAACAAATATCAGCCGGTATTAACAACAACCAGTTGTGAAGTTTCATTTAGCTCAGTTTAGACTTAATCACTTAAGTTTGACGCGAACTGAAAACGAAAAAAAAAAAAAAGAAAAAAAGAAAAGGATTTTTCTAACGTAATTGTTTTCTCGCAGGAAGGTGTGTTAAGTAATATGAATACGGATATCTTTCTGAATTTTTTTGTTCCCGGAATTGAGGTCCCTTGAGGGAACTTCCTTTGTTGTTTCAGATGTTCAATTTCTCAGGGAGTTGACCCTAAAAATGACATGGATAGATAGATAACCTTTACTCACCCTCGGTTTTTTGACATGAAAAATTTAATAACATACAGATAACATAACAGTTTATTTAAACTACGCAGGTATAAGCGCCTTACAGTTCTAGCGTTTCAAACATGGCAACAGTTAATTTTCCGTGTGGAAATAAATATGAAGCCTAAGAAAAGAAAAATGCTAGGCATCATCATCAACTACAACAACAACAAAAGTACTTGACCAAAAATTCGATACACAATATAAGATCTGACCCTTACATGAATACCCTGTTTCAGACCTGAGTTATAATCAGTTCTCTAGTTCAGACCGATGTTGAAGGCATTGTGAAGGGCTTTTGTTGATGATCTTATCGACAATGATGAAAAATAAGCTTGTTCTAAAAAACATACCCAGTTCAAGACGAGTGCAAAATCCTTACCCTACTTAATTTGAGACCAAAATGACCTAAATCGATACTCTATTTCTGACCAAAATGGCTGAAAAACAATACCCTTTGGGACCGCACATACTTGTATAACCCATATAAGGAAGAACTCCCAGGGCCTGGCTGTTCGATGTCAGACAAACATTTCATGGCCACAAATTTCTACAGCTTTGAGGAGAGCTGTAGCTACGTCACCAACCTTATTGCTACGCCCTCTCCTCTCCCCAGCCTTGCACGGCCCATTAAGGCATGTTCTGACCATGTAGAAAAAGTACTACTGGCGTTATTAAAAAAAGAGAATGAGTCGCTATAAGGAGCTGAGTTTTCATGAACTTTTATTTTCCAATGACGACTGTATATCCATAACGAAAAAAAAAAACGTATACGAATAAAGAAAATATTTCTTCTACTAGACATACTTGTCAGACTCTACAATTTAGATACACTCTTTGTTTTTTCTTTTTTTCTTGCATTAAAGCGGACGATAGTTGATATACTGCTCGTCTCGCGCCAGTCATGCCCCTGTAACGCCTTTTCTGCAACTCAGCAAAGATTCCAAATCTTCACCAGCTTCTGCGGCACACTGCTCAATGGCTTGAAATGCCTCACGAAACTGAAATAACAATCAACAGGAGCCCGTGACCCAGCAAATAATTTTGAAAGTGAATTAAAGCAGCTCGCTTGAAGATCACCCCAAGGCCCCGTCGACACACTACGCCGGAGTAAGTTGAAAACGGAGGTTTCAACCTGAAAATGCATCAAATGTTTTCCGTCCATGCCACACTACGCCGGAGGAATTTGAAAACGCAACAATCAGCGGTCATTTTAGAATTGAGTTTGAGGAAAACTCGGTCAGGGAAATCACATGATTATCGAGACGTCATCGCTGTCGAAAAGCTCCGTTTTCCGTCCACACGGAGGGACGGCGTTTTCAAATTTCTCCGGTTTGAGGAGCGTTTTTGAAAAGCTCCGTTTTCGTGACGGAATAGTGTGGACGATAGGCCTAACTGTAGAAAAAAACCTGAGTTTTCAAATTTCTCCGGCGTAGTCTGGACGCAGACTAAAGAGATATTCAGTCCGAGGAAACAAGAACCAGCTTGGGACAAAAAGTGAATTAGCTTGCCGGCTGTGTTTTCACTGCGGTTGCTAAGCAACGGATGATAACAATCGTGAACCACCTTGGAATGCTAAAGCGAAAATTTTTTAGAATCTTTACTGAAAACTATAGTATTTTTTCCATGTTAAAGGTTGGATGCAGGACTGTAGCGTTTTCACGATTTGCGCACATATTTTGAAAAGTTTAGCTTAAATTTTTTCAAGGCCGGTTGTTTGTAATCCATGCCAATCTTCTCCATCCTTGTTCCTTTATGATTTACAGTGGAATCCCGATTTCTCGAACCCTCATGTTTTCGAACCTCCCAATAACTCGAACCAAAAGTCGTTCCCCTTCTCAGTCAAACGCTGTAATTTTGCCCCCGATTTCTCGAACTCTCCGATTTTTCGAACCAATTTTCGTTTCCCTTGGAGGTTAGAAAAATCGAGATTCCACTGCATTATTATCTCTTTGGTGTTTTTCTACCTTATAGTAAACTGCTATTTTCAGGTTTCCTTTAATTTAAAGGTAATTTTGTACGCGGCCAAAATAACTCAAAAAACCGTGACTGGGCTGTCTTTTAATTCGGAAAGAGACATTTAATTTATTTAGCTGCTTACCGTGGGAATACAAGAATAGTAAGTCTCCTGAAAACATGCACTTATTTCTTTATCAGGATTTTGTCTGCATTGAAGGAAGTATGGCTTGCAAATCTGTGAAGAAAATACACAGGGATTATTTAATTTTGCCTTGCAACAACAAAGTAATTAAGCAAAACTATAGGGATATAATATTATTATGAGAAAAAAAAAACCTTTTCCTAGCTGAAGCGACGAAAGATTATATATTTCCTGTAGATGAGATTTATAAAAAAAGTACTAAACACAAATGACACCGGGCTCTACTTAGATAAAATATGGCCCTGGAGCAAATTGTAGATGTTTATTTAGAACAAACTCCAAATATAACACTCCTTGAAAGGAAATAACGAAAATACAAGGAGACATTTCGTGAACAAATATGGGCGTGTTAAAGGGAAGAGGAAAAGTTGATTTCATTGGTAGAACTTCTCAAAATCTTAAAAGAAGTCGTATTGAAAAAAATATAACGAATTATGGCTTCTACTTTTGTTTAACGTGACCGATGATGCTAGTTTTTGTGTTAACGCTCCCGTAGTAATCGTTTTAGATCATTCGTTCTCGATTTAACACCTTTCGAGATTGAAGGGTCTTTTTGACGTAATCATTTTCTTGGTGAAACGTGATCTTCTTCACAAATTAAGAAAGATTAAAACTAAGTTTCTCAAAAACTAAAATTAAAAAGCTCATCAGTTTATTTTACCTGTGCATCAGCTTTGTAAATATAATCAGGTTGTTCTGCTCTAACTTGCCACATCAGAAACAGGAGAAATAGGCACAGAAAGGTTTTCATTGCGCTGAAATGTTTCCAAATGTACGATGCGTGTCAGGTGTAGAACTTTGAAGTCCGCTCGAGATCTGTGAAACAGGAACACTTGTGAGACTATTATATTGAGTTCGTAGGCATAATATTGCAAATGTAAACGTTATTTAGCCAATGAATTTCGTCTAAATCAGATTTGATAAAGATTTAATTGTGGTGCACGACAAGAGCGCAGCTCATATTCCAATTCATTACAAAGTGATTACACACTTGTAAGTTGATAGAATCAGCGGGGAATAAGGGATTTGCGTCAAAATAATTTCTTTCAATTTGTTATTTTTAACCAGATATTTGCAGCTTATAAAGTGCTCTTAAGAATTGCAATCCAATGCAGCCTAAAAATATTTAGTTACCTTGCTATTTACTAATTGCTGTACTCCTTTTGTGTGTTATATTTTGCACGTAATACGGCTGAGTGTAGTTTTTTCCCTTGCTTTAAAACGGCAAGTTATTCTTGAAACTCACGTGTAATTAATGTTAATTTAACTGTTTTTTTCTTGTTGATCGTATTCGTCTTTCATGGTTTAATCAGCGGTGCATTTACAGATTATTTACTGTAGATGTCAACATGGGGGAATCTTCGATTTCAAGAGTAATTGTGGAATTCATGGCTTGCTAAGCATAACAAAGCCATTTGAGGGGGTTTTTTATGCCCTTATTGCAAAACCAGTCTTGTTGGAGAACCTTTCATGTGGAAATGACTTTGATTTGCAAGACAAGGAATAAACAAAATCATTTGCATATGAAAAGTTGCAGTACACCATAGGCACTTTCCATTCAACCAAAAATTCCGAAAATTTCGAAAAGGGGAACCGATGATACGGGAATTTACGTGAGAAACTATCCAGTAAAATCAGGAAATTGTTGAATTTCGGAAAAGCGAACCATTAAGCCGAAAATTCCGAAAATTCTAGGAGGAAAGTCAAATGGAACGGAAATTCCCGGTGAGAAATTAAATTTCCGAAAGTTTCGGTAAATTTCGCAAGGTTGTCCCTTTTCCGAAAATTCGGGAGTATGCTTTATAATTCGTGACTGGAAATTTCCGAAAATTCAAACCGAAGTTTTTCATGGAATATTAAACGCCCCATGACTCCTTTAGAAGCAAAGGAAAAACGGAAAAACTGGTCTTTTAAATGTAAAAGGTTGTGGCCATGTTGTTAAAACTATCACAGAAAAACTGCAAAAGAAGTATTTATGAGACTAGGATCAGTATTTCTATAACAAGCTGTTGATAACAATATGACGTTTTAGCTATCTGCGTGCAATGAACCATTAAAGTGAAATTATTTTCTTTTCATTGACAAAGATATTTTTATGCAGCAAAACTGGTGAGTGAGTGAGTGAGTGTTTTTCATTTCAAGACAAATAAAGCTTAATCAACGGCGAGGACAGTCTGTTTTCAACTAACTTCAAGCTGACAGTATGTGGTATATTGACTGTAATCTCATTCATCATTTTGTAACTAATTCAAAAATATTGCAGATATTCTCAGTGTGATGTTCTCGTACAAAATTGGAATATGATTATGAAAGACACGCTTCTAGAAATTTCTTAACGAACACTGTACAATTATGCTGAGAAATTAAAAAAAATAGTTTGCTAGTGTTCGAGTCATATCACCATAAAATTAGAAATAAACTGAAATGAAGAATATACAAATTCTGCGATATTTCTTGAAGTATTAGTATATGTAATAGGACTACATGCTGTCCAATTTGGAAATAATTGGATGAAAAANCATTCTATTACGAAAACGGAACTTCTCGAAAACGCTCTTTAAACCGGAGGAATTTGAAAACGCCGGCTTCGTTTTTGTGTGGATGGTAAACATTTTGAAAACAGAGCTTTTCGAGAACCGTGGCGTTATACGATAATCATGTGATTTTCTTGACCGAGTTTCCCTCAAACACAAATCCAAAATGACCGGTGATTGTTGCGGTTTTAAATTCCTCCGGCGTAGTGAGGACGGAAAACATTTGATGCGTTCGAAGTGATGAAAACACCGTTTTCAAATTCCTCCGGCCTTGTGTAGATGGGGCCTTATTAATAATGATAATAATGCGAATTGGATCTCGATAGTGAAGATTTTCGATACACATGGAACAAAGACTACTGGTAGAAGATATTAGACGTAAATTTATCAAATTACTCTTTGTCGCAACAAAAGAAATATGATTTTTTTTTTCTAGGCGAAATAGCTTGATCAGAATAGTTAGAAAATGTAATCTACTGAAGCAAGACTTATTATTAAAAAACAGCGTCCAGTTCCTGCACTCAAATACTTTTTAGCATCCTGTCTTACAGTTAAGCTTTTTCACTGATAAGGAAGCGAAAAGCATTCGCCAGTAACTGTCACGTCAAGAGCTGTTATAAGTTACCCACACTTAAGTTTCACCAGCTCTGTGAAGTTTATGTTATGTTACACATTTTCGTCTTATGATTATTGCCTCCGTTAGCTTTCTTGGTATGTATACGCCATAGCAAAGGCGAAGCTAAAAACAAACGATTTCCAAATGGTCTTGAACTGCACAAAACTCGTTTGATTTTATCGACACTGTTGAGTTGGTATAGATTCGGACCCATTACTTTTTTGACGGTTTCAGCCGGCCACACTGATCCATCCACCGACTATAGAGCGAAAGGCTGTCCGTTTATACTTAGCGCTTGGAAGTACTAAACTATCATTTGGTGTTTAATTAATGGATAACCAGAATAAAATTTTAGACTTAATATGACGGATCACGAAGGGATTACTCAAGCAATTCTGACATAAATGTTTCAGAATAACTAAGGAAAATAAAACATGGGACGGAGGTTATATTAGCGTTCGGAGTTTAATTTACCACCAGTCCGCAGTATACAGTAATTGCGTAAACTGTTTAGCAGTCGTGTGGATTTTAAAGATGTTGCCAGAAAGATAAGTTTTTTTTTAAGAGAGAAAGATACTGAGATCGTATGCACTGAGAAAACGATTTCAAAGGTACACTCGAGGAAACGAGTTTTCGTGAGAACTGAAAATCTTTGGGCAGCTCTTTTTTGAAGCAGGATTTTGAATCTCAGCAACTGATTGAGTTTACAAATAAATATATAGCGACTTGCCCGTGAAAACCGTCTGCAATATAACGCAAAGCAGTGTTCTATCATATGCAAAAAAATAAACGTATATGAACAGAATCGATACATTAGCCCGAAACCCGGAAAAGGACGAACAGAAATCAACTAACTATGGCATTATCTAATGGCATATTTGCATGCAAATACCGTAGAAGTATTCTTTTTGGAAGAATTGAAATAAGGACAACACTTTCGATAAATATTTAAACAAGTATATTCTTACCTCTGTACTTCACTTCACAGGGAAAGACCTTGTAGTAACGATGAACTATTGAGCAAACTCAACTCTTGCTAGGCAAACAGTTTTGATGAGATATCATATGCGAACAGATGCTTCGCTTTTGAATAGACTGGGTTTCTCCGTCTCATTAAATTTTATATCTCGAAGTAAATTGCTTTCTGTGAAGTAAAAAAACCGCGGCTGCAATTAAGTAAAAGCTATTGTCCAGTTGCACCATTTAGAGAAAAAGCCGCAGGTTTCTTTTACATTGATTCAACATGTGTTTCTAGTTGTTATTCTCTCACAGCAAGTTAATTCCCCTTAGAAAACACAGGCACAAAAAGAAATAGTTGCCGCTTTCTAAGGGGGTAAGCTGTAAGGCGATGAACCATTAATGCCCAACGAAAGGACATATATCCTTTTCTTAGTTTTATTTTCGCTAATCTGGCATCAGAGCCAGGAAAATAATTGAACATCCGATTTGTTTTAGTTTTGCTCCCAGAGAAAAAACATTCTCAAAACTATCAAAGTCGGAATTTATTCAGGGATATTTTATTTATAAGAAATGGAAAATTTTTAAGTAATGACGTATTCTGATGCTAACGTTTGAAATTATCGCTAGCTGTAATTTGAGCGGCAAAAGAAAGAAAAATTCCATGAAAAGAAAAGAATAAAACTTTTGTCAAGACTATTGTCTCAATTTGACAAGTAAGCCAAAGTTACCGAAGTGTCCTCCACATCAATAACAAAAATTAAGGCAAATTCGTCAGGAGAAGGAGAAGAAAGGTCGATGTACACCTAACGAATTTGTCAGTCCAGTGCGATGTGGCGTTCGGTGATTGGACAGCGTTTGACAACCATTTTTCGGACGCAGTGTTCCAGCAAACTATTTCAAAATAACACATAAAGATTGAAGTATAACACCGTATAATGAGTTGTAATTTTCGATGGAGGAGTTCTCCATCTGCTTCTATCTTCAAAAATGACTGCTGTGAGATGAGTGACTGATTTCAATTTATAACATTGCACTTTCTGTGGCTTGAAACCATATTTTTCCGAATTCTTTATGTTTTTGTACTCTCCGAGACTAGCGCACGAGGTTCACCAGAATTGGGTTACGATTAGGGTTGATAAAAGACGGGGCCTTTCAAAACTTGTCTCGCCAAACCCATGGTAATCAGCTGACACGCTAATGTTGACAAACCCATTCATTTGACAGTTCAGCCTTTTGATCGATTGCCTTCCGTGGGAGGAAATCCAACACAAAAGAAAAAATTATATCAAAACACATGCCTGCTGACGTGGTCCGACAATTGAGGGTATTTTTTGGTTGCCAAACTGAAATTAAAAATTTTAGTTTTATGATCACTGTATTTCCCGGAAATTGCCGCACTTAATTAATGTAAATTTTGCCTTAAGTCAGCGGTCACCTTTTTTCTTGGTTTTCATCAATATCGTTCCCAGATCGGTTGTGGACTTAGAAGAAGGCTTCGTCTTGAAGAGAACTGGGAACGAGAGTAGGTTTTCATGTGACGTCATCGTCGTCAGAAAGATTCCAAAGTTTTCCTGGTCTCATTCAATATGGCCGCCGCACCAGTATCTCTCGGGATTGCAAGGACTGTTTATGATCGTTTATGCCGGGCTTAGTGACATTTAGCATCAAATCTGTTTAGGACAGTCGAAAAGAATCTATAACAAATTTCTTTTCCTAATTCATTGGATCGCATGTAGAGAATCAAGCGAGAAATAAGGGAGAGGATTGTTCTCCTCTGAATTCTGAACTTCTTCTGATTCGCTCCTGCGGTTAAAGGCGCTACTTACTTTAAAGATTAGCCCACCAGGGATCAAAACGTTGTCAGATTTATATGAACTACAGACACGGGTATCATGGTGGTTTTAGTTTCGAATCTAAAGGAAGCGATGGCAAAGCGAATCAGGTAAATTGTAATGTGAAAAAGACTCATAATGATGTATTTTGTTTTTATTCATCGTGGTAGATGCAATAATAAAGTGTATTATCGTTTGTCTCACGATGTAGTCACTTGAGATGTAGATCGCAACGTTTCGACTGCTTACT